TTTTTTTTTTTTTTTTTGAGCCACCTCAAAAAAAAAATTTTCAAACCAATTTCCAGTTCAAAAGCTGTAAAAGTGATCTCTTCTGATCAGACCACTGCCTTTAATATATTTGCTGCATCACATTGCTTTTGCAGATCTGCAACTAGAACATCTGATGGCATTCTTTCAACAACAGTATCCCATTTATTCCATCACAATTGTGGGGTGTGAGAAGAACTAAAGATTCTTCTGTTACTAGAAACCCACACCTGATTTGAGCATATGAGTCTACTGAAAATTGTTTACCATATTTTAGCAGTTGTACCAAACTGTATCTTCCTACATCAGCACTATAATCCAATGGCACACGATTGTACTCTGTTTCCTAACTAGATGATTTCTGAAGGTAACTTGCACCATTTTTATTAATAACATTAAGAGCATAAGGCAGTGGAATAACCCTCCCATACTTTTTACATTTTTTTTATTAGATTTACAGATGAATATATTATGTCTAGCTGACACCTAGTATTTATACCATTGATGATTGAATGTAGAGTATCCAAGTGATTGGAGTGGTGATATAGTGCAAATATTCCTCATTACTGTCAGACACTTAACACTATGATATCAAGAAGATGTTGAGGAAGAGGCATATTAATCTGACCCCATTTTAGAAATCTATTCAAACTCTGGGGTGCTTTTTAATATTATTGACTCACTTGTTAACCCTCCCTGTAGTCTCCATAATGAAGCTTCAGTACTTTTAAGTTTTAATGTTTAATATTGTTTAACAAAAAGGGGCCCCATGACAGGGGCCATACTGTCTCTGGTAGTAATTTAGCTTTGATGAGAAGTTAACAAGACATTTCTATCATGAAGTAGAACAAGGCTTTCACTTTTGTGAAGGTCCAAATATCCATCCATCATCTCCAGCTTAGTACTTGTCAGGGTTGCAGTGGGGCCAGGGCCTATCTCCGGCAGTCTATCGGCAAGAGGCGGGGTACACCCTAGACAGATCACCAGTCTGTTGGAGGGCAACACAGAGACACACTACCATGCACACACACGCTCACACTAAGAACAATTTAGAGAAGCCAATTAACCTAACAGTCATATTTGAACTGTGGGATGAGGTAGGTGGACCAAGAGAGAACCCAAGAATGCTCAGGGAGAACATACAAATTCTATGCAAAAAGGCCTCAGGCCAGAAATCAACCAGGAACCTTCTTGCTACAAGGCAACTGTGCTACCTACTGTACCACTGTGCAGCCTCAGGTCCAAATATGGACCTATAATACCATTCAGCTGATTTTGATCATGTATTTGTTACATAATTTTGTTTGTTTCATAACTCTCAGAATATAGAAACCCATCTAAAAACTAGTCAGATGTTTTTATAATTAGTAGAGAGGCTGTGTTGGTTGTTCTGAATGCGGAAAGAACCCATAGCTAAAATATCCTGCCTTTGTATAGTGCTTTTCGTAACACCAAGGACTCCATAGGACTTTACATTTACTTATTCATTCATGCAGGTAAGCTACATTTTAGCCACAGCTGTCCTGGAGCAGACTGACAGAAGCAGGGGGACTGGTATTATTAAAAACAAGGAAAACCAATATAGTACACCATTATAAACCGCTTGTAAGAGGTGAGCTGTCCAAAATGTACAAAACAAAACAACTCTCTAAATGTAAAAAAAAAACTTAATGCCATTTAAGTACAAGGAAATTAAAGTAAAGTAATTTGGGCACTTGCACAGCAAACATTACTTATTCATAGTATTGCAAAACCTTTTCACTACTGTTACAGTACAGTGTTTAAAAGGGAAGTACTTATTATTATAGTATATTTCAGTTTTTCACTTCAGTTAAAGAGAGTTTCTTTTTTTACTTGATTAAAAGCAAGTTTTTATTTACCTCGCCTATATAAATTTTAAAATTTAACAGTAAACATAAATTAGTGATGGTATGTGATTGAAAAATAATGAACTGAGGCTTAGTAATTAATTAATTTAAATTAAAAATACTTTATAAATCCCAAAAGGGAAATTGAGTTAATTGTGATTAATCATATTTTTATCAAAAAGCAGTTTTTGGATCCTGGTAAATTTGTTACTGATTAAATCAAGACTTATATACATAAATCTACAGAATTTGTATTGTCATGATGGAGAGCATTGTTCAGGACTTTTATTTTACTGCTTTTTCTCCATGCATTTCACCTGGTTGAAATAACACCACTTATAGTAAATCTTTTACTGTTTTTTTGTTGTTGTTGTTTGTTTTATAAGTGCTTTATTCAGTCATTTGAGTTTTACAAAAAAAAAATACAATGAAAAAAATCAAAATTATATTTAGATAAAATTTTGATTAAAGTATATACCTTGTGAAATGTGAGTTGTCTGCAGATGATTAGGATTGATCAAAGCTAAAGATTGCTCATTTACCCTTACAGAAATCTTCCACAAATAAAATCCCTAAATACTGAAAATGATCAATAATGTTCTGAAGAAAATGAACCCAGTAAAAATGTAGCACTTTGCCTCAAATAAACTACACCTGCCACTGTTTTTTCGTACTACAAATTAAATATAATACTGCGATGCAGCGAATAGCGAAATAGCCAGTCAAAAGGAATTGTGTTGAAATTTAACACCTGGGGAGTGAAGATCTACTGGTTAGGGCATTGCGCTTGGCTCCCAGAGGTTCTGAGTTCAAGCCCTACTCCCACAGACTGCCACTCTAGGTCTCTGAGCAGGCCCCTTAACCCCACACTGCTACCCAGGCGACACACAGTGGCAGCCCACTGCTCCCCAAGGGGATGGGTTAAATGCAGAGGTGAATTTCTCCAGTGTGAGATTAATAAAGTTCAATTATTATAATTGTTCTTATTAATATGAAAACAATCAACATTGAATCAATGATATGCTCAGTATCAACCAAAACACATTCTCTCTTTTTTAGCATTTGATCTTGATGATTTTTTGCAGTAAAATAGCTTCATCAACAGTTTATGGAGGACCAACTCTGCCATATTTAAAAATAAACACATAAAAAAATTAATGCTTAATAAACAAATAATCATACAATCAATTATCCGCAAAAATGAAATAAACAAACAAATGTAGGTAGAAATGAAATTATACAGTGAGACATAAATGTATATATCTTTATTGTCCATTATAATCTTCAACTTTATTTATTTATTACTCATTTTTGTAAGTGTTTATATATGTGCATGTCTGTTTTACTCTTCCTTTATATTTTTTTTACCCTATTTATTTCTTCAACGCTATTTATTTCTGCCTTTCGATTTTACATTTCTGTATGCATTTCTGGCTCATTATGCAAATGAGGAGGGGTGCGTCTTAGAGGGTTAACTTCTGCTCTCTAAGACACAGCACTCCTCATTTGCATAATGAGGCAGAAATGCCTCATCATGCATTATTTATTTATTTCTGTATTTATTTTTAAATATGGCAGAGTTGGTCCTCCATACACCAAAAGGACAAAGCTCTATATCTGTTATTCACAACAGATATAGAGCCTCCTGTTCAATAACAAACATTGACTCTAGGAATGACACATTGGTAAAATAAAGTATGTATTAATCTTAGCTTACAAGGGTTTTAGTAGCTAGTATGACCATATATATGTAAATGTAGTGGGTATTTGATATATTTTTGCATGTCTTAATGTTTCTGTTCTCCAAAATATTTGACTTTCCAAATGCAAAGAAGGACAAAATCTATTTTGCATATTGAAAAAATAATATTAATAATCCTGCGTTGGCAGCATGTGTGTAAAACATCACAGAGAAAGATTTACCTATTGGAAATCTGTTTTCCAATAAAAGACAAGCACTGTAGGCTTTAGTTTTTGGTGTTGTTATTCTCAAAACTGCACTGAAAAAATAGCACACACAGCTAAGTAACTTTGCATTAACTGGGGCAAAAAGTGGAAGGCTATAATGCAGAGCTAGAACAGATTATGATACTTACAGGCATAGTTTGTCCACCATGCAAGCTGTTGATGGCGGCTTGCGCTTCTGCGTGGCTTGAGAACTTGACGAAGGCACAGCCTGTATGCACAGAAAAAGAGGTTGGCACATTGTCAAGATGGCTTTGATCTTAGAGAGAACAAATTGTTATGACTCCTACCATGCTATCAAATCTATTAACATATACTGTTTATGTTTTGTTGTATCATTTTGATTATAAAGAAAGCATTAGATGTCTTGGACATCTTGATTCCTGTCCAATTTGATTTGACCCCTCCAGCTTAACAGAATACAACCAGAGCAATTACTGTCTTTGCTTGTTTGTCATTTTTTATTGGGTCAATATTTGCACAATGGGATATTGTTTTGAGTTTTCTGACTAACTCTACGCAAACTGACTCTTACTAGAATGTTTATTCAAAAGGAAAAAACAATGGTCAGTTTTTAGGAGGATTGAAATGTGCTGTTTAGTTAGAGGAGCAGATGAACAGAAGTGGTTGACTACAAGGTAACGGGCGTTGAACGATCTCCACAGAAGTTGATGACATTTGAATAATTCACACCAATCATAGTTTGCAGTTACACTGAATGAATATATGCTGTGATTCCATGATTAGGCAGTTGGTCAGAATGTAGAGATGCATCCTTCCTTAGAATATTAATAAAAAGGTGGCAGTAATTCTACTCAAAAAATGAAAAGTCCTCCTTAGTTATTGCAAAGAAAATGACATGATTCCATGCTTGTTAACCGTCATCATAAGTGATCAAATATGTATTCTGCGTAACTGAAAGACCTTTAATTTATTTTCTTCAACTTATTGTTTGGTGGATTCAGGAGAATTTACCTGAGATACCATGTCAGGGATCAGCTTTTGCATTACAGAATACCACAATTAATTCATTTTGTGATAAAATCCAAGAGTAACTGGAGGCATTCATTTATTGGATGATATTTTATTTTTTTTCTAAACATTTTGAATGATTGCATGTGGAAAATTGGTGAGTGTTAAAGGCCATGTGTTTTCTGTGTCATAAAATGCCCTTAAAGCTGTAGAGATCTACAGAGGCAAACAGAGGAGTCAAAGAAGCCTTTGATTCTGTCACAGCACTCCAGCACCCTTTTTACTTCACTTGAACACCCCTCCGGGTAGAGGCAGGAAAGGTCTTCATTTGTCCAACTGAAATGCATCAGGCTACTGTGTTCCATTTGACTTTAACGCTCCCTTTGAAGACCATCTCCAACAAACACATTTAACCTTTGCAGGAAAGATAAAATGGGGATTTGATTTAGCTAAAAAATAAAAAAGAACATTTGATGCTTTTAAAGGAAAAGTAACTTGGCTGTTGGTTTCTTTACAAGGCCAATATGTATTGTACTGCAGTTCCAATATTGACAGCAACTGAGTCCAAACAGAACTTCAGGACTTGGATAACTCTATAAAGTGAGTATCATGTTGTACATATTCATAGTCCTCCATTTTTTCATAAAATAACACTACTATGTTATGCATTTTCTGCTTTTCTGCTTTAATAAATAATGTTAGTGGGCAAAGAGAACAATATTTCAAAAGAACTAAATGTGCAATCCCTTTGTAAATAATAGTGCACATTTAAGTTTAGTATTTTTCAGAGTATGTTTGGAAAGAAAAAAAAGACAAAAAAAGGGAATTTGTATTACTTTCAAGCGATAGGTTCTGTGGTGGCTTTTGAATTCCAGAGGTAATAATATGTATGCATGAATTCCATCCCTCTGGATGGCTGACATTTATAACACAACTTAATTATAGACCTAAAAGCCATCTCTCTATTATTGCTGACAATTCAGGGCTCTATTCAACTCTGGCAGCAAGTGTTGCACTTTGAAAGTACTTTGAGGAGCAGAGATGGATGTTAAACTTCTCGGCCTTTTTACTGGTTGAAGAGGGGTACTGAAAAGCCTCTGAGTAGCATAAATTTACATCAACAGGGACAAAGCTTCAGTCATGGTACAGATAGCGCTGTCAATTTCAGGGTCTGTCTCATTCAAATTATGGGAACCTCATCCTGAGTGAGGCGACTGCAAAATAATTTGCCGTAACATCCAGTAATGATTGCATTGGACTTTTTGCACAGGGATACGTACAGTATACATGCAATGTTGGAGCAGTTCTGGCATTTATGGTTAATAGTGAGTCTTTTTTCCTACCTCATTTCTTAATGATAACATTCAAAAAAGCAGGATTAATCAAGTGATAACAAGCAAACCAGGAAAAACATGGCACATGAGGAAATAGAAAGGAAGAGTTGAAACGTGTCGGGTGAAGGAAGGTGAAAATGAGTGAAAGCACAAACAAGGTGGGAAACTAGTTCCTTTCTGACATAGTCGCCTGGGCTTAATTTAAGTTTACATGCTGTCAATCAGTTTAAGGCATCTAAACAGGCAAGGAGAAAAGAGGGTGAAAAAAGGAGAAATACAGCAAACACACAAACAAGTCATGGAGCAAAAAAATAAATTGGTGAGCTGGAGTGGCTACAGAGAGCAACAGACCTTGGATTTGCAATGAAATGAACAGATGTGGGCACCTATACTGGTCTGTGGTTCAGTATAATCATGCTTTCTCTAGAATTGGCAACATCCCAAATGATCAACTCCTGTCACTAACCTTCCCACATGTTCAAAAGCTGCAAATACCTAAATTCATCTCAGTTACAGCCCCGAAAAAAAAAATTAGTAGAGGTTCAGATCCATATCATTCATTGTTGTGTATGAAAGTTTTTATTAGTTTTAGAAAGCCTTTTTTGTATATTTTCACTGAAAGATAACAAGTAAAAACGATTGGGGTGAAAACATGGTTCAGTGGTAATGTACACACAGGCAGTCTTTGTTAGGACCCAATATTAATATTAGCCCCTTTTTCCATTTATAATCTGGGGCCTTTACATACACATTCACCTGGGTGATTTCACTATCCCAGGGCTTTTGTTCCAGAGCTTGTTGAAGGGTGGGCTTGTGTATGGCTGTGGTGCTTTGTTTCTTTGTTCCACCTTTGTTTTTCATACCTAAAGTCAGAAAATTAGTTTCCACATATTTAATGCAAGAAAGTACATCTTATAACTTCATCAACTTATCATGAAAAACCCTACGTTTAATCTGTGTCCTGTCAGCATGGTGTTGTTATTGACTAAATTGCCAGTGTAAATATATATATATATATATATATATATATATATATATATATATATATATATATATATATATATATATATATATATATATATAGGGGGGTGGTGGAGAATGATTTAGCAAAGATCCTGTGGGGCTTCCAGATACAATGTTGGTGGCCAACCGAATGGAATGGATAATCTGCTTATTAACAAACAGCAGAGGACAGCTGTAGTGATGGATGTCGTCATCCCAAATGATGGAATCAGGCAAAAAAAATTGAGAGATTGGAGAAATATCAAAGGCTCAGGGAAGAACTAGTGAAACCTGGAAGGTGAAGGCAACTGTAGAGTCTGTGGTCATTCGCATGCTCACTTTTGTCTAAACTTAAAGTTTCAGTGTGTAATAATTACAGGCATTTACTGATCGAAATGTAATGTATTATAAGTATGTCATTTATTATCATCTACAAAATGCAAGTCTCAATCTGAATGTATGACTTTCTTTAGAAATTGCTCTGTATAATGACATAGGTGTGGGTCTTCCATATAAAGAGACATCTTTGCATTACAGCAGGGCAGATCTGACCAACTGCCAACTGTAAAGATTGCCCTTATGCTAGAATGTGACTGCAGCATGTTAGGCCTTTATAAAATCTATATGTTACATAGACTAATAAAATACTATTAATGAAATTTCTATGTAAACAAATCTAATCATCACTTGACAAGATAGCTGATGCTGACTTTGAGGAAGAAATTTTGTACCACTAGGCCAGTATTTTTGGAGGTGGAAACGGATGGGGGAGCGGTTCATTTCATTGCAGTCTGCAGTCTGACCATTAAATGTCGCAGAACGTTACTCATTGCAGCTTTAGGCGTACCCATAAGGAAGATGTTCAAGTGGGCTAACCTAACAGATGGAAACATTTTTTGTGTGCTTGTGTGGTTTTGCATCAGATTTTTGTGGAAGAGGTTTGCAGCTCTAGAGAGACGAGAGGAGAAATGAAGCAGCAACTGAACGTCTTCTTCGACTTTTAACTTTGAGGTCAGACCAATATTCACATAAATACACATAATTACCAAAGAACTCTTAAAATAGTAGTTTTTGAGTTAATATTGATAAAAGAAACACAAATATGATAATCATAATATTATAGTATCTGATCCCAAAAAGCATAAAATTATTGATCAGTTGTGAGCAATTAAATCTATAGCTACTGAAGTTATTGTGTGCTCTGAAGCGACATAACACTAGATGGGGATGGATTAGGTCTCCCTGAGACTGGACCAGAGAGCCATGAAACGATTATCCTTTTCAATTTTCAGATTATTCCCATCAATCTACCTTTTATTTGACTATACTCCCCTAACTAAATACAATGTAAGCCACAGACAAGAGCACACAAGCTAAGCAGTGAGTGACAGTGGTAAAGCTCAGAGACAGCCGTCTTTATTTACAGTTGGAAAATATTGTCCAGCAATGGTCTCTGGGGAAGGATGATGAGGATGTTGGAAACAAACATGATTAAAACTATCCAAATTTTTCGATAGCAGTAAGAGACATGGTGTAGGGATGCAAGGTTAAGCCCAGAATTAGACGATCCCCTGTCATCAGGAGACAACAAACGGGAAAGATGAAAAATTAAATATCAAAAGAGAGATAAATGAGTGAGGGACGGATTGAGAAAATGAAATAGAAAACAATGTAAAGCAAAGAAAGTGGGGGAAAGAAGGTGTCAGAGCATGATGACAACAAGATATGAGGGAAATGCAAGTGTGACGCATAAAAGGCGGTGCAAAAAAACAGTAGCTGAAAGGGAGGATGAGTTATTCAGACAACATCACAGACAATGATGATAAATGCAGTACAGGAAGACAATAGTTCTGAAAATGCAAAAAGCAGAAATAAAGATAAATAGATAGAGATTAAGAAACACAGGCATGGGGAGTGAAAAGAACGGGAGCTGTAAGGTCTCTGACCCTTACTGGCCCCATCAGGCCCTCGAAGGACGGTGCACTCCTCGATCTGGCCGAAGGTCTCAAACAGCCGCCGGACATCGTCCTCGCTCTGTTGCTTGCCGAGCATTCCCACAAACAGCTTCCTGTCTTCTGGATTGAGATAGAGGAAGGAGAAAGGGAAGGAGGGAAAAGGGAAAGAAGAGAAGAAAGAAATGCTAGAGCTGATGGCACCATTCTGCAGAGGTTTTTTTATTAGCATCCTGTTGTTTTGTTGCTGCTGCTGTTGCTGTTACTCTTGTTGATCTCACTGTTGTGGAGTGTTTCACCCCCCTACCCCCAGCCCACCCTATGCATGAGGGTGGTTTATTCCTGCATCTATTAATCCATTCAAGTCAACCCTACTAATGTTTGATAAAGTTAGGAGTGCTGCAGATTTCTCCCAAATAGGAGGAATGTAATATTTTGCAGAAGTAGACAAACTCTTTGATTGTTGGTGAGGAAACATCCCAAAACATGTACGATTTATCACCCAAATAGTAAGCATTATAATAGACAACAGAAAAACCTTGTGTAAGAGTTAAACAATACACAACATTTAGATGATTAGAAATTCTTTAGAGATTTTTTGGGATATAATAAAAAGTAAAGTGGACCATACCAATCTGTATATTATTTTCATTATGAATACAGTTGCTCTATGAAAGCCTTAGATTGCTGTTCAAATTAATTAGTAAACAACTGGCTCCAGGAAGCATAGGGTACCTGGAACACCCTGGAAGGTTGGGGGTTGTGGTGAAAACATTTTAGCAAACACCAAAGCTTTTAGTGTCTTAGATAATGGTAAGAAAAACTTAAAATCTACAAAGACATAACCATCAATCGAAACTGACAGATTAGGTAAGCAAAGTAGTGACCCCTTATAGAGCAAGTTACTGTGTTTTGTCAGTAATATGTTACCTACAGTAAATTGAGTTGGAAAAAAAAAAAGTTAATAAGTAAAAAAGTTAAAAGCTATTTGAAAAGTTAAAAAGTAATGTTTAAAGGTTAATAATTTATTTTAGGTTATGCTTTAACAAAACATTTTAGAGCGACTGACTGTTTCTTATCATTATATTAACCTTGATTTTTGCCATGAATATTTCTTAAATGTTACAGAAGTAATAAGATCTTGTCCTGTCCCCCCAATAATAAATAAAGAATAATATTATAATAAAATGTTGATTTTCAAAGTATTTATCTCAGTGTCCTACAAAGCATTAAACAGCTCTCTGCAAATCAGGCATTTAATGCTAGTAGGGCAAGATGAAAGGTTGTGCTAATAGGCAATGTTGTCGTGCTTTAGGTTTGCCACCAGATATGTTTAGAACAAGTGTGAAGGAAAACTAATAATGCTCATCAACTGTTAAACAAAAACAACCATCCCTGTAGTGTAACCTGCCTCTGGCCTCTTAGCATTGCAAAAAGAAGCAGGTAAAAGTTGATGGGAGGACAAATTAAGCTAAAAACACTGGACAACCTTGGATGAAAACTTTTAGGGGTGCCAACAAAAATCAATAGGTTCACCTTTCAGGAGGTCAATGAAATGAAACAGGCAGCCAAATGAACAGAGAAATGGTTCATATTAAAGCATATTAATGTGTGGGCCAGTCAGAGTCCTTTTTCAGATTTACAGTAAGATTTTAATTGATTTTAAATAGATATTGCGTTACGCCTACAGTATGTGTTTAAAAGAAGGTGGGATTAAAAAAGGAATACAGCAGATAAAGGTGCACTGTTTATCATGGCCACACTAAAGATAATAAGTTTTGAAATTAAATAAAAAGGTTACGTATACTATTTAAAGGTGGATTGCAAAATAATGAATGTGAAATATATTTTTTCTTTCCTGTATGTGCTCTTATATTTGCCCAGCAAAATTAGTTTTCTTCTTTGTCCTTTAAAGGCTTCAATAGTCAGTTCATGAGAGTGATTCGTGTCTTATTATCTGGGCGTGTGAATTGGTGCGATGTGTGTGCTCTTATTCACCTGTTTACTTTGTTGAGTCTCTGCAGCCATTGACTCATTGATGAGAGAACAGAGAATGGAAAGTGGTCTGTTACTAGCACTTTTTTTGGTGCTAAAAATGCAAGATTTTTCTTTCAATATAACCTCAATATTTCTAACCTTTCCGAATAAGAACATATTCAACCTCATAACAAAAGACATGTGTAGTTGCACTGGTAGATGGTGTTGCTTTCCTCTTATTTTATGTGTTTGCAAAACACCGTAGTTCCAACATTTGGCAAATGTCTGCCAAAACTCTGGAACTTGTTCTGAGGTCCTTTAAAGCTGAAGTCTGTAAGTTTTTAAAAATGACTTTTTTGTCATATTGGCTAAAACTGTCCCTATGCCCAGACAGCAGTACATGTGATATGTAACCTGTGAAAAAAACTGCTTCAATTGGTCCCGCATACTGCCTGTATTTCAATCTGGAAAGAATAATTCGGGACGAGTCAAAACAACCAATCACAGCCAGAGGAGCGTCTGATGGAGTGTCAATCACAGCTCCCCCCCCCCTCACCGCTTAACCTGCCGCAGCGCCCGGCTGCCGCAGTCAGGAGGACGCGCGTGGAAGTCATGGCGGAGCGAAAGCCACCAGCGAAAGAGAAACTGCCCTTACTGCCCCTGCCAACAACTGTTTACACGGCAAACTTCGGTATAACAGCATCTTATATCTAGCTGCTTGGAGGTGAGTGTTATCGCTCTTACCGGTTCACACTCCATGCCGCGTACGCTGCTTGGACGCTTCTGGTCGCATGCGGTAGCCACGCAGGTGCTCTGAGAGAGGTGGAGCTTGGAGGTGGGGCATGAGTGAAGCAGAGAGGGTGGGGGAGTGACGTGAAACCTGTTTTTCTTCAAATTTTCAGTCGAAGTCTGCTCTCTTCTCAATGTTACAGACTGCAGCTTTAAATGGGATGTGGGGAAAAAAATGTACCTTTAATGTTGATTTAAGAAATCAACAATTTTTTTCAGTATCAGCAAAATTGAGATTTTATGTTTGCTTTATTTGTTTTTCAATTATGCACCCAGTACTTGGACTTGAGAGTTTCCATAGAGACTTGTTTCTTACTAAGGTTAACAAAACACAACAAAGTAAAGAAAAACTGCAGGATTATACAAATGATTTGAATTTTAAAGCTAACCTAAATTAAAAACATGTTAAAGGAAACAACTATGTTGGTTCCATGGGCTAATTGAGACCTTGAGATAACTGAGATCCTATACAAGAACAAAAATATACACAATTTTTTTTCCATAGAAAAGATCTAGATTAGACGTCAGATAGATGTGTTCACTTAGCAGCAACTGCAAATGAAAGAAAAAACAGCAAACAAAAAAAAAAGGAAACCAAGGTGCAGCCGTTAAAATGCCACATATCTCTCCATCTCAGTTAAAATGTATCAGTTTGGACTTGCAATAATTTTATATGTATCTGTTTAAAAAGTTGATGGTTCATGCGTTAGCACAAACACCATGCTCTTAATAACTTAAAGTATGAAGAATATAAAATTACATTGCTAGGCTTTCAAGTTTTGGTAAAATGGTCAATAAACTGTCATATCTCTAAAAATAGAAAAAAAAATGCTGCTGTTTAAGAATACAATCCATAAAGCAGCTTTAAATAATAACTTAAATAACAGAGTGATTTTTAACTTCATTACTGGTATTTTGACAAATTTCTACAGAAAGCACAGATGGAAATGCATTGGCCTTCAGTAGACATGTATACTTACACCTGTGTATAGAACACAACATTCTAAACCAGTCAGGTAGCCTCAATCTTCCAATTATTCCTCTGAATGCCTTGGCATTAGACAGTGCATTCATCTTCTTTACATCTTTAACATTATGCATTCCTCATTTCACTGTGTTGTGAAACGAAATGGCTACTAGCAAGAACCTATCAACAGGACTGAACGAAAGTGGCAGGAAGAGGAAGAAGAGTTTATTAGCAATGACACTGTTGATCTTCATCGCAAGTCATTTGACTGGTGGGGAGCGGGCAAGGAGTAGGGAGGAGCAGAGGGCTGGAGTATCACCTGGGCCTCAACAGATGTGACACCTCCTGTACCTGCCAGGCCCCATTAGAGGCAGCTGGTCTAAAAATAAAGCACCATGGCTTCCTGTTTTTGATGTTGTGAAATTGTCTCATCTTCTGCTTTAATAAGTTCCAATAAAAATTCCTGCTCAACACTTTGCAGGACAAAACAACTTTTGCATTGGTTGTTGCAGCAGCATCAATACACTGTCTTGGAGTTTAGTCTCCACAGAACATTGTCACCAACCCACAAGTGGAGGATTGTACTGGTGCTCACCTTTTGGAGCCTTAGTCTTTACAGAACTGTTCTCTACACCCTAACACTTTGGATTAAGCAAAAACAAGAAGCACATGTCCAGATTGCATATCTTGCCATGCTTTAATAAATAAGTGATAAAGATTTCCGATAAAAAGTAAACAGATGGGAAAGAAAAAAAATATCTCTGAACCCATTTGACTTTGGTAGGATTCTGCTTTCCATTTTTCATGTATCCACCAAGATGTACACCTTACAACATTAATGGGCAATGTTAATGTTTTGGGACAAAAGTCTCATCTGAGTCCTGGCCTGAGAGGATCTAATGCTGGCTTTACAAGGCTAATTAACAAGCCATGAGCAAGGTAATGAACTTTCCAAATGCGCTGGCAAACGCAGAAATAAATCACACCCCAGTGAATGCATTAAAGGAAGTGTGAGTGTACTTTGCCGCTTTCCTTTGGGAGAGCTACAATGAGAAAATGAATTTGGAGCTGCTATCTTTTCATTGCCGGACCTGAGAGAGTCTCAGTTGGCCCTCTGTGTGCCCTGGCTAGTATATAGATTGCTATTAATTAGTCCACTTTGCACCTGCCTCCTAAGAAGCTCAAATAGTATTTTCCAGGTTCCCACTTGTCTCCAATGGCCACTCATAAGCTCTAAATTGCAATTTTACGAATATGAATAAATATTCTGTAATACCCCTACCAGAGAAAAAAAGAAGCCTCCATGACTTCAAACAGGGCCGATGAGTTATCAATCTAAGTGTGGAAAAAAGCGTTCTTTTTTCTCAAGTAGCTTTATGTATTTGCATTA